ATTAAGCAATAAAACACTTCATGAATATTGAATCAAGAAATTGAGAGAAGGCATTACAGACAGACTATTCAATCTTTCATGGCATCAATTTTCATCAAAACATATTAGGAAGGTAATTTGCATGCTAAGACTTAATTATGCTAACATCAAACAGGTCAAAAGGAACATAGCAGCACTCAAGTTTTCTTTCCTCGATTTTCAAAAAAAAAAAAAAATTGTTCAACGTACATCCTCTGAAAAAGAACTGAGCTAAAAAAATTCAAGAAGGATTATTATCTACCCACGACAAAATAAAAATAAAAAAAATATTTTTAGATTTTTTATTGGACCTTAATCCCTCAATAAAGTTGTCCACGAGATCCATTGTCGAGAAAATTCCAATTTATTTTTAAGTTTTTAAAAGAAAATTTCCAGTTAAAATAACACAACTAAAATTTCTTAGAAAATCACATAGACAGTCTCATCACTCCACACTTAAAATCTTGCATTATCCCAAATGCATATCATAAATAATAAGAGGGTGAAAGAAACTCCCGGATATACCAAGGGCCGAAGCATTAGCAACTAATAGGATACTGAGACTTCTCTCAGACCCGGTCCTTTATGCGGGTACCTCACACTTAGTTCCAACCATCTTGTTTGCTTTTGCTTCTTCCCAATGACTTTGCTTCACATGCTCATACACCTACAAAATAAAAAATAAAATAAAATGACACGACAAAAACAATACATTAAAAAAGGTTTAAAAAAAATAGAAAGTAGTAAAGTTGGGTTGCCTCCCAATAAGCGCCTGATTTAACGTCGCGGCACGACATGAATCACTTTCTGCCTCTACTTTGAACTTATGAACTTGATCCCAAGTTTTGATTCTGCTCTATGATCATGCTCTTGGGGTGGTGTAAATTCTTGCAAGCTAAAAATTAAATAATTCCTTATGCACTTTTTGGCTTTTAAGCTAGGGAATATCACCGTGCCAAGACGACCTCGACAATTTCAAAATATATGTCTCATCAACCTCTTCCCTTGTCTCCATTCTACTCTCGTAAAGATCCATTCTCATTTCACCATTCGAACACAATGCAGAGAAGTGTTTGGAGGCCCAACACGCTCAAATACATGAACTTCAAGATGTTCTACATCCTCTACACCAATGACACTAGAGTCAACTAAATATTTATCCTCAATGTCCTCGGTTGACTCTAGTATCACGCATTCAACATCGACATCCTCAAATTCTAGTTGGCTAGGTTGTTGGTGTTCTACTATGACCTTCTACATCAGAGTGTCAATTCCTGCCTCTAATTCACATTGTTTTGGGCTACTATCCATCATATTAACTCGTCGAACATTTAGAGCTTCCACCACTTGACCCTTCAAGTTGTGAATAGTTGCCTCTTGCCTTTGTATCTGTAATTGCGTCTTATTATTTTATTCTACAAGGCACATTAACATATCTTTGATCTCCTTTAGGTCAGCATCCCCGAGTTCTTTGTTCCTAGTAACTTCACACATCAAAGTAGAACCATCATAATAAGTGGTGGGGGACGGATAAGAAATATAAGCACAAACATAAAAGTGATCATCTTGACCACCACACATATCACATATGATATTGAGTTGGTGCACATAACTCACTCTCGGAAATATATTGATAATTTTGGCACGAGTAGTTTTCTCCACAATATGCATAAGGAAGATCAAAAGTAGAATTACCAACATCAAAGCTCTCATAATTCCAAGATGCCATGCCTCTCAAATTATAAATAAAAATAAAATATAAATAAAACAAAATAAAAGTTCAAACTTGACACCAAGTAATATTTACAGTTATAACTACACCGTTGGTTCCTCGGCAACGACGCTAAAATTTGATCACGCCCAACTCTAGTCTTAAAAAGGATAAGTGGTCACTGCAAATATAATCCGATCTAAGAGTTCGGAATCGAATCCCACAGAGAACTAAGGTTTTGCTATAACTGTTAAGTATCACTAATAAGACAAGCTCGAACAATTTTTAAACTGTAAATATCAATATTCTTATGTCAAACAAATTAATTAACATAAATAAAATAGTAAATTCACAACTAAAGATACTAAGGGTTGGAGACAAGATTAATGAGGCCTAGAGTTAAGATTTTCCCAATTTTTGGAATCCTTCCCGCTACGTCTCCTATAATTTCGCCTTAAGTATTCTTTATCGATCGTGAGTACTTCGGGAGTCGTAATTCTCTTCCGAGAAACTACCACAATTTACTAGATGTATTCTTCTGAACTACGCTAGCTGTCACTAGTTCACCGCTCACCAAGATCGCATCAAGGTTTCGTTATTCTTAATCTCACCTTTAAACCCACCGTATTGATTCCTCACATACGTTAAGAGTAATGTTGTTCTACAACTACCTAAATGTGTACCCTTTTCCAAGTAATACACACCAAATAGGCACAGTCAATTGAGAGCTCTTCAATCAACAACAATGGAAACGTAGTTGAACAAGTAGAGAAATATCAAAGGCAAATTTATATTAAATGTAGTTAAAAGTCATCCTCCAAGAGGTTCCATCAAACCATAGATGAGAAAGTTTAGCTACTCATAACCATACTAACAATCATGATAATAATTGAAAGAATTAAAATACAAATTAAGGAAGAGCGAAAGAGAAAACCCTTGTGATTCGTATTCAAGTGTTCCCGTAGCCTTCTTGCCTCTCCAATAATGTCTCTACCTATAAAACAATATAGGTTTGGAACCCCTTTTATATTTGTTGAGGGCGTGTAGGGTTGAAACTACCAACTCCTGGGCGAAATAGGAAAAGTTTTCCGATTTGGCATTTTGAATCACTCCTGACGCAAAGCTGTGCGCCCAACTCTGTGTAGTGCTATCTTTCGCGTGTTGAACTGTGCCCGGCTCAAACCTGGACACCAAAAAATCATACTCCTCTAAATTCTTTTATTTTAGCTTCAAATTATGCACAATCATTCCATATCACCTCCGATAGATTCCTACACAAATAAATACCAAAATTAAGTTCGATTCACGAATATTTACACTAAAGTTTCAAGATCAAGGTATAATGCAAGGTAATTTACATGCAAAAATATAAATTTTTAGCCTAACATCAGTGGGTATTATTAGAATAGATTGTGTACCGATTAAGGAGCTTGAATCTCAGTTTTGGGATGGTTTGGTAGAGTTTTGAGGTGATTTGAACTGAAAATTCGAAATAGAAGATGAACATGAGAAAAATAATATGTGTATCACATATGTATCATAGTTGTATCAAATATGTATCACATGTATATCAATGTATACCTGTATGTGAGATACATGTGTGATATATGTTTGATACATGTGTNTATATATATTATATTTCATCACCTTATTTGCTACTTCATCTATGAATTTTTCTTTTCGTCTTGCATCTAATGTTGCTAATCACGCTATGGAAGAAAATCTTTGCGTGTGGAGAGAAAGAACCTTAATTATTTGAATTTTTAATTTTTATACGTGCTTAGCTAGTTTTGGTAAGTCTATGATTAATGACTAGAGGTTGGTAAGTTGGGACTTATTTGGGATATTTCTGTAAGATGCCCTATTTAAAAACCGACTAAACTGACCGAAACGTACTGCACCGAACCGAATTTTAGGTTTATTTTAATAAAACCGTAGGTTTTTATATAAATCTACAGTCGTACCGATAATTAGGCTAGGCTTTTTACTTTATAGAAAAAAATCTAAAAAATACCAAACCGTACCGAATAAATTTACATGAAAAAATATATTTAAATATTAAATTTAAAAATAAAAAGTATTAAATTTTTCCTTGGACCTTGGAATTATGAAAACGGTTACAAGCCAATAGGTAATTGAACTCAAAATCCTAATTCCCAAACCTATTATACTGCTTCTATTGAAACTAAATTATTTTCAGCATATTCACTAGCAAGACACAAGGTATTCTAGCGATTATGAGTAGCAAACTACAATGTATTGAATATGTTTCCTTTCGTATGATTTAAATTTAAATTTTTAAATATTTAATCTTCCATAAACTTTATTCTTGAGTCTCAACTTGCTTAATAACTTTTCACTTGTGTGATTTATATTTCCTTTGTCTTTGCTTAGTTTCTTTTGCGTTATTGTAGAATAGTTGATGGATCTATACTCTAGCCATCTTTCATGTTTTCTTAATTTATCACCTGTTAAATAGTAAAAATATCTAGAGAGTTTTGCTAAGTCTTATAAAAGTACGTATGTTATTGCGTTCTGCTTCTACTAGTGACTTCTAAATGACATTTAAAAAATACCGAAAATTAATTGAACCGTACCGATACCGAAGAGAAAACGATATGATTAGTACGGTTTTTAAAAGTCTAATTTCGATTATACATAATAGAATAACTGAAAAATTAGTAGGATACAAATTTTATAAAAATAATGGTCGAATCGAACCATTGACACCCCCTTTTATCTTACTTACCATGGGGAAGCGAGATGAACAATAAATTTATTTTTATTTTTGAGTTTACGGGAATCAATTAACCTCACGAGTCACAATATTTCAGAGTTAGACAGTGATTATTATGCAAACAATTCTTCATGATGAGAGAATATCAAGGATTGCATTGTCTCTATTTTAGATTGGACATTTCACAAGTAGGGTAATTATTAGAAACCGTGTTCGAAATTTTGACTATAGATATTTATTTTTTGTGAATTAATGTTATGTCGGTTTTATTTTTTTAGTCGATATACATATATTATATATTATATGTATAATTATATACTCCCTCCGTTTCAATTTATGTAAACTTATTTTCTTTTTAGTCCGCGCCAAAAAAAATAATATATTTCCTTATTTGAAAATAATTTATATGTTATATATAAAAATTATAAGTATATAATATATTTGCCGACTATTCATAATTTAAATGGTTGAGTGAGGGTATTTATATTAATTCTTCTTAAAAATACAAATAGTTTGAGATGGACCGAGTTACAAAATTTCTGAATGCTTTGTGTCTGAAAAACAAATAATTTTGTAGTAGCACCCATTAATTAAGAAAATCTCCCCTTTCCCACTTTCCCAAATTCCCAAATTTCGTTCGGACTGCCCAAATTCCCTCAAATGTTCAATGAATTGCGAACTACCATTTCCTTTCTTTTAAGCTTCGATTCACCTTCCATAGTTGCATCAACATTTCGATCAAGGCTTGAAATAGTAAGCTGTTTCCCTTTTTAGTATCACTTGTTTAATGATTCCCCATCCCCAATCCTCTTAATGCTTTAATTATATTGGAGAAGAACAAAATCATATCTTGGTATTGGAGTCCAAATATTGAGAAAATGTTGGCAAAAATTGATGACTTTACCTTGTCATTTTGTTTGATTGAGAAAAAGAAATTGGCAATTGAGAGTTTAGGTTCATCTGAAGTTTGACATTTTCATGGCTTCTCAATTTGTTATTTTATTTACTTGAAAATGGAGACAGGTAACAACTTCTTCTGATTGAAGCAGTATACCTGTATAATTTCTGAAGAACATATAGTTAAATAGGAATCATGTGGTACATTAAAAATTTGCTTATGCCTATGTATCCATGATACGATCGAATTTATATACTAATAAAATAGATTGCCTTCTGGGAGCTTCAAAGCTTGAACTTCCACTTTCAATAGTCAGAAGAAGCGCGGATGGCACCGGTCCTGATTGATTGTTTTGAAGTGAAGGGATTTTCCCTACTAATGAGTACAGATAGGCGGTCTTAGTATTAGAAAAAGAATTAGTAGGGGTACGTGCGGAGTCTTCAATTATTGGCCAAGTATTACTTCACTTCCTCTTAGTTCAAGCTATTCCTTAGCGGTTATTTATCTTCCACTACCCGAGGCCGCAACTCCCCTAGCTGCACATGGATGCACAGAGAAGGCCCTCACTTGGTTCTTTGACATCGACTCGGTTGCTAGGAAGAATGCGGGCTTAGAGCCAATAGAACTAGTGTTCCTTCGTCACCCTCTAGTGTACTGAACTTGTGAAAAGCATGATTTAAGATATGCACGGACAAAAGTAGCTGCTAATCTTTGTAGTGTACATTTGGTGGTTATGACTGAAATATTTCATTTTGTGCTTCTATTTGGTTAGGACTTCGGAGTAGTATGCTTCAGGGATCTTGGAATAAACCAATGCTCTATTCTTGTCCTTTTATAGGCTATGAAGCGCCAAGCTACTTTGAATTAATCATTTGAAGTGAATTAGTATATGGGTTGTTGAAAAGAAATTACTAACGGTCGCTTGTTCGAACAGCTGCTGAAAATTCCTCTTGAATTTTCTGGAAGCCTTTTCTTTTTGGAACAATTGAAGTGCTGTTATGTTTTTCGTCAATCATTGATGCCCTTGGTTTCGATATGCTTTATTATATTAAAGTATCTAATTGTTAAATGGTATTTGCTAAATGAGGATTTGAAAGTCATTGTGAAGATTCATTTCTCTTTTTTTGTTAATTCTTGTGATAAAATAGAGCTTCCTACCAAAACCAAAGTATATTCAATTATGAGGTGGCACTATGCTCTCGACTTGGTGTTTAGTTAGGAGGAGGGTATAAGAGCGGACAAAGCTTGGTATTTAAGTTGGGTGGAGGGACCAGTGAGCCAACTGGAGTTGAGACAGAAGCCCACAGGGAAGTTTTCGATTTTTTTAAAAATAAAAAAAACTATGCTCTCGACTTGGCAATAACCAAATGACCAGGCTTATTTGTTAGTAGTCTTGAGATTCCCAATCCCTACAAATAAAAAAGATTTTGGAGTTGGTGTATAAACACACCAACTAGTTTTGATCATTCAGTTACCTTAAATTTGACAGTTTCAGGTTTTTGTTTGTTCTTACACACCGGTCTGAATTATTCTGCCAATTGATGATTTGGTAACGCATCCATGAGTTCGCACCAGCCTAATTCAGTTGACGACATCTTCGACACATCACTGAATTTAGAGGACACTCATTACAAGGAAGGTTATTCTGAAGGCTATTCTAGCGGCCTAGCTTCGGGTAAAGATGAAGGCTGTGAGGTGGGGCTGAAAACAGGGTTCGAAGTAGGTGAGGAGTTGGGTTTTTACAGAGGTTGCGTTGATGTCTGGAATGCTGCAATACTGATGCAACCAAACTGTTTTTCGCCGCGTGTGCAGAAAAGCATCAAACAGATGGATGAATTGCTCCAAAAGTATCCCGTTTCTGAACCGGAGAACGAGTCTGTCACTGATATTATGGATTCATTGAAGTTGAAATTCAGAGCTATATGTGCAACATTGAATGTCAAATTGGAGTATAATGGGTACCCCAGAGCTTCCGATGTCAAGAATTCAGGATTCTGATTGGTTCAAATATTAAATGAAGGAAAATACAGATACTTTTTCTGTCTTTTTCGTGATTGGTTTGATCGAAGTAGAAGGTATGTAAAATTTTTATATTCATGTGCATCTTTGAGTTTTCAACCGATCCCTAATCTCTTAATATCAATATTAGCCATATGTGGTTCAGTAAGGTTTTGTAAAATATTATATTGAGTATAATGAAGAGAAACATTTTCTAAATCAAGTTGGATTTATGTCAAGCCCAATTTCTACATAGCTATATGTATCTATATTCTCTCCCTCTCCTCCTCTTTTTAAAAGTTTGCATCGAGTGTTTACATCAAATTAATGCTCGCTTCATATCTATCATACACATTTATCAAACCATTGTTGATATGTATTCTCTATTTAGTTTTTAACTTCTAAGGTTAAATTACTTGGTTATGTGTAAACATCCGCTGTAGGTAATTATTACCTCTACACTTTGAAAATAATCATTTCCTACCCCTTAAGTATATCTGTATCTGAAATAGCAGGGCCAGAGAATGATGTCTTAGCCCAAAGCACATTTCCTGTCAGCTTTCCACAGTTTTGGCTCTATTTTAATCAACTTTTTTTGGTAAAACAAAATGGGTATTGTTGATTTGATTCCAAAATTCACATTTCCCTCTTGGTTAATAGTGAAAGCACAGAGGAAGAAGTGACCAATCAACACAAGATTTTCATAAGAAAACTGCGAAATAAGAAGGAAAAAGAATCCTGCAAAAAGTCACAAGTCTCTTCCTGTTAAAGCATTCCTTCTGTCAGCTTTTCATATTTTGGATGAGTCTTGTAAAGGAATAGAGAGGGTTACACAGGGGGGTCTTTCCTAAAGTAATGCTCTATTCAACAAAAAATGGATACTTCCTATTTCTCTATGCTTCTTTATTGATCTTTTCTATTTGAGAATATAGAAGATTTGCATTCCAAATCACTCGATTAAATTTAATCTGTAAAAAGGAGCATATTGATAGCCCATACCAAGATATATCTTTTTCAGCTTTTCCTTACCATGAGGAGCTCTTCTTTGAACACTTTTAGATAGTTTCAAATTAACCCCCAAAAAAAAAGAAGCAAAAAACGTGTGTAGATAACAACTAAAAGGAAGAAAAACACTGAAAGGAACTCCACTAGTACATCCCATTCTTGAACTTTTCTCCAAATTCCACCACTTAAAACTTGAAAAGAAAGAAGCTAGATTAATACTTATTCAAACGAGCAAACGCTAATTAGATATCCACCTAAAAGCTACCCTACAAAAGAGAAATTCAAGAAAATAATAATGCTAAGTAAGAGAAGTTGTCTATTCCATTCTTGAATATAGACAACATTTTGTGAAGAACATAAAAGATAAAATTTCTTAGTAAAAGGGCTTTGACAGAAAACTGAGAGTGAGCACCAATATTATTGTTTAATAATATTCATGGCATTTTTGGAAGGTGGTTGTGATGAAGAGGGTCAGGTCCTGTTGGAATTTGTCTTGCTGATTCTTCTGACTCTTCATTAATACTCTTCCCTTCTTTCTGTTAAACCCCCAAAATAAGAAAAATACCAACAAATTAGAGAGAGCTCAAATCTTTTTCTGTTATTTTTAAACGAAAATCCACTTTTAAGTTAATAAATACCTGAATCTTTCCATCTGGAAAAACCCCTTTTACTTCTTGACCAACTGAAAAAATTAGATACATAACATTCTCAATAATTAATATGCATGTAGAGAGGAAAAAGAGAGAGAGAGAGAGAGAGAGAGAGAGAGAGAGAGAGAGAGAGTTTTTACAAGGAGGAAAGCTAAGAACAAAGGGTGCTGAAACCACCATGAAAATCATCAGCAGATAGAACCCTGAAATTGTAAAAGCTCTCAAAGACGCCATTTTTATCTCTTTTATACAAAAGAAATATCCCCTTTTTTCTCAATAGAGACTTAGTATTAGTAGTAGAGATTCTAAGGAAATGTTTTGAAGCAGACAAAGGGAAATGAGAACAAAATATTGTTGTTTTTGAATTCTAATGGAATATTTAAATACTAGAAACTCCCGCTGGACTGGATAATTTGTCGATTCAACAGAGGCATATTATGATAGTACGATGTTTTTGTCTGTTTATACAGACGACGTGAGGGAAAACAGAAAACATTCCACAATTGTTTCAACAACCTTATTCGTACAGATGTGGAGGTAAATGATTGGTTCATAAGAAATAATAGTACGGAATGTGATACTCCCAATCATTTGATGCTGACTGACAACATTAATTTTTTATGAAGAGGAGTGACTACTCATTAGGTGTGATCCTTGATTTCACCTTATTGACAGGATATTTGGGACAGAGACGCACTTTTTAAAAATTTATTCTAATCTTTTTCTTTTAGATTGAGGAGGGTCAAAGAAGAGAAGAAAAAATCTATTCCTCTTTTTTGTTTTTGTTATTTTAAATTTATTTTCAACGTGGAATACTGAAAACTTTTTATCTTTAGTTTTGCCCCTTTTTCCAATTCCTTTTTAAATATTTTTTTATTACTAAGGACTTACAATTTTCGAATTATGAAATAATTCAATTTGTTTTCACTTAAATGTCAGACTTCACTTATTGGAGTGTTCGAACTCGTGACATGCACTTAACTCTATATTCCTAGATTTAGTGAGTCTGTTGTTGCCCTGGCGCTTCAAAGTCGTTAACAATAACAGAGCCAAGATTTTTACTAATGAGAGTCAAAATATAAAGAAGCAAATGGATGAAGAAACTTGAGAGATTCAACATATAGTGTATATATACATAAAAGTAAAAGTATCTATCAACATAGTGTAATTTTCCCGCATCACTTAAACAACGGTGGTCCGCACAGGTCTTTATGGTTGACTTGGTCCATACCGTCGTGCCATGCTGGCAGGTATGTTGAGTCGAGTCGTGCCTACTCATTTGTCTGGGCGTGCTTAACGAAAGATCAGTGTTAGAATCATGTAATTGTATGGATCAAAATCTATCTTTAGAATATCTAAACCAAGATAGTATTAATGGAAGAGTTCCCAAGTATCTTTGTCGAAATGGTCCAATAAGCGGCGAAGTCTGTGGTCGAAGAGTCAACAAGGGCCGAAGTCGATGTGACAACAAGGGTCGAGGCTGAGGTCGAGTATCTTTGATAGAGTTGCAACGACTAGTTTCAAGATAGGATATTAAAGAGAATATTCTAGTGGATATTCTCTAAACTTGTACTATTAGGGTTTCTTAGGAACATATTTTCTATAAATAGAAAAGGACATAATGATATAGGACATGTGATATTCATTTGTAAAAAAACACCCTTTGACTTGAGAAAGAGAATCAGATCTCATTTGTTAAGATACAAACATCACCCTTTCACTGAGATTCTTGTCTATACTTTTCCACTAGATTCGAAAATAACTCAAATATTCAAGGGATTGTCTATCATTCATCATTGTCAGAAAGAACATCCCTTATTCCATCCTTTCTTGGGTGACTCATTCCTTCTATTTACTTAAATGTCATTTTATTACTATTCATTATTATTGATTGTTACATTATTGCTTCTGATTTCTAAACCATTTATTGTATGCCACTGTCATTGTCCGACCAGATCTACGTAGGGATATTATTGTTAGCTAATATTAATCCTTATTTATATAAATTTAGTTAATTGAATCAAGATATATATCTTTTGGTTAAACAATAATCAACCGAGGGATATCGAGGTTTAACTTTGGAATTGACTTACCTTGAAGATGGAGAGCAAGAGAGAACATATTGAAGCTCCTATGGTCTGCTCTAGAAATGAAAATGAGGATACAACCTTTTTTATTTCAAGAAAAAAAAAGGTCATAAAAGCTTGTTAACATGCTCCGATGCAAATTGAAACAAATTGTGAAGGAATGATCAACATGCTAACCAATAAACACTACAGTGTTAGCCCGTTCGCAAAACATTTATTGATGATTGCAGGTGCCTTATACATGAAGGGGGATGCCCTGAATGGGAAAGGGAACAAGGTGGCAGATGTTCTAAGCTAAATATGGAAGAAATTTACAAGTTTTTGAAAGCTTAGTGCTTTATGATGTACTCCTTGTCTTTGCTTTGTCTATTCTTACTTATTGGAGTGTTCAAACTCATGACATGCACTTAATATAGCAAATCTGAACTCAGAAAAACGCATGTACATACCTTGGTTGTGCAAATAAATAACAACAGCTTGAAAACAAAGAACCTCCTCAGTTCTCGCTTATTACTGCCTAGTGAGACTCCAAAAAAGTCTAAGTGGGCTTTTGGACATAAGAATTGTAATTCCAAAATAGGGGGAAAAAAATTTTCAAGTGAAAATGGTATTTGAAATTTAGAATTATGTTTGGACATGAATATAATTTTGGGTTGTTTTTGAAGTTTTGTGGGTGATTTGAGTGAAAATTTTGAAAATCAGCTTTTTGGAGTTTTTCAAATTTTCGAAAATTTTCAAAATGCATCTTCAAGTAAAAATTGAAAATTTTATGAACAAACGCTGATTTCGATAAAAAGGAAAAAATTTCTTATATCCAAACGGGCTCAAAGAATTATTCTAGTTTCACAATATCAACAAACATAAATGACTAGTAGAAATATAACAACTTCAAAATGAAACAGGTTCATAGATCGAGTCCTAACATGACTTCACTCGAGAGTACATATTAGTATCGTTAAGCTTACTCATGATCAGAAACTAAGGAAAAGAAAGACAACACAAAAACAAATATCGTATACATGCAAATTACTAAAATCCTTTTAATTTTTTTCATCAAACTCATTTCATGCTATGTGCGCTAGGATGAAACCGTTAAAACATGCATTCTGCTTGTGATATATCACGAAACAAGTTAATTTCACATTCCGAATGATGCCAGGAAAAGGAAACTAATAAAAATATCCCAAACAGCAAGTTGGCTATCATCTACATCCACACAGACCATGTTAAAAAACAGAAAAGAAAAATATGAATGTGTAATATGGTAACCTGAATGATTAATCTGGAGAATCTTTGATCAGAGCATGCAAAAGGCCACATTACTTGAAACAGGTTCATACATATCCATTGCATCTGCTTGTTAATTCTTTCAGATGCATAACAGGTTTCATGTCTCACTGAAGTTAAATTTAACCTTTTCTTTTTTCCAGATGCATAACAGGTCTAACTTAAGTTAAACCTATTAACTTGCCAGAAACTGACATATCAATAAACCGG